AATTAATACATAAAACAGCACTATTTATTATGGGAAGCAAGCCTTTTCCAACTAGTACCCCCCCTTCATGTTTTAAAGTAATGCTTTTTTTTCCCCCCCTTTTTGAAATGAGATCTTACCCTGTTCCCCACAATGGCCTCAAACTTCTAAAGGCTCAAGTGATCCTCCTGAGTAGCTGGAACAATTGGTATGTGCTACCAAGCTGTTTAAGTAATGCTTCTTAAATTTAATGTATATAGAAATCAACTGATGATCTTATTAAAAATGCAGATGTCAATTCAGTAAAAGCGGGGAGTGAGTAGGTGGTGCTCTGCATTCTTAACAGCTCCCATAGGATGCCAATCAATGTTGCTCATCCTCAGATCATACTTTGAATACCAAGGTTTTTAAGTCAGTACATGTGTACAACTGGCTTACCTCACTAGAAAAAAAGAAAGCAAACCCCAAGATGGGGTTGGGGTAGCAAATAGTGAGAAGGATGCAACTGAGCTTCCTATCAACAATGAAAACATACATTCAACATCATTTATTCATTCATTCCTGCCACCAATAAGTCCTAGAAAAGAAGCAGAATTGGCCAGATAGCCAGTCAGAATGAAGCTAAATCCATATGAAAACTTAGGGGGGAAAACAACAAAAACAAAAAATTTCACCCCCACCCCAAAACACAGACCTCATCCTGTAGAATGTTAGCTATCACTTTTTCCTTTCTGCGTCTTTTCTTGTCTCCTATTCCTCTTTCTAGTTAGTATTCCTCTTTCTACTTAGTGCTCCTCTTTCTAGTTAGTGCTCCTCAGGTGTCATTTAGGGACAAATAGCAGTTCCTGGTAATCTATCAATTGGTTTACAGACAGTTTTAAGACAAAATGATAAGAGTTTTGACCCTGAAGAGATTTTTTTTTTTTTCTTTTGTTGGTTCTGGGGAACGAATCCAGAGGCTCAAGATGCTAGGGAATTCTTTACCACTGAACTACATCCCCAGCCCACATTTCACAAATTTGAAAAGATTAATTAGGACTTTCAAATAAATTATTTTAGGTTTTTAATTGTTGCTATATTGCAAGGGACATCGAAGATTTATAAGAATATTTAATAATATTCACAATAAATGAATCAATAACTCAAGAATATTAATTCAAAGAGTAAAAATGAAAATTACATTTAACTCACAACGTCATAAATGATAATAGCATGCTCTTAGAATGAAGACTGTATCTCAGAGTGAGCTCTAACCAGTGAATCAGGAACAATTAGTCTGCACTAGAAAATATTATTGTTCCTACTGTATTGCAATACATTGTATTACATATACCAATAGGAACAAGCCACTGAAGTATTCACATAATTTTCAACCACTCCAGTAAATCAACCTAGTCTCTCTTATGAATTTTGTAATTAGAAGCAAAGATTAAAACTATAGTCAAGGTATTTGATCTTCTTTTAACAAAACAAGTATAATTATTGTCAGCTGTAAAACTAATGACAAATATACTCAAAAAACAGAACATTATACTGGCAAAATTCTAAGAGATGATAACAACTGGACATTTTATGTGTCTGTGTTAGTTTTGCATCACTGTGACCAAAATACTTGACAAGCGCAACTTAAAAAAAGGAAACTTCATGGTTTCAGAGGTCTTAGTCACAGATGGCTAAATGCACTGCTGTGAGCCCAGAGGAAGGAAGCACATCATTGTGGATGGACATGGCAGAGAGAAGCTGCTCCATGTATAGCAGCTAGGAAGCGGAGAGGGGAAGAAGCCACTGGGAAGATAAACCCTTCGAGGGCACACTCTCTCCTTCAGCCATGCCCCACCTGCCTACAGTTACCACCCAGTCCATTCAAACTATGATGGACTGATTAGGTTACAGCTCTCACATGAAATCATTTTACTTCTGAACATTCCTGTATTAACAAAGGAACTTTTGGGGGACAACTCATATCTAAACCATAACAATGTGTTATATAGTGAGGAAGAGTAATTACCACAGATCTATGCTTTTAGGTATTTGTTTTATGGCTGCATGAAACCACCAGTGTACTGAGTTTGGATCAACCTTTGGCATATCCATTTATAATATGTAAATCAAGAAAAACTGACAACTTTTGAACTTTTTTTGGGGGATGGAACCAGGCCCTTGAATATGCTAGGCAAGTGCTCTAACATGGAGCCAGCACCCCCAGTCTTTCAAATAAATTATTTTAGGTTTTTAAAATTTAAAATTTTTAATCCTGATTATCAAAAAACATGATTGAGAGGGATTTTCTGATCCAATAACTATTTTTAAACCTTGTCTTGAAAAGGTATACTGGGATCAATATAGGCAGGACATTAATTATGGGGGTAACAAGGAAGACCCACTAAGAACAAATTCACACGACTTCATTTACTGACCACAGCTGACATTTAACAATATTCCCTCATAAATCAGTATTAAAAAGACTACAATGGAAATTATGATGTAATTCAAATTATCCTTGAACAGGTATCTTCATGAAAAAAAGAAAAGCAGCAGCAAATACAGATTATGCTTCTCTATCTTGCATTCAGACTCAAGATTTAAATTTTATGACATTGCTGTAAAATATTTCTATGATTTTAAATAGTTTTGGTGCTGTATCTACATGACATATACTACAGTGAATAGCTTGAACCTATTATTTGGCATGAAATAAACAATTTTTTGGGGGGGGGGTGGTACTAGGGATTGAACCCAGAGGTACTCTATCACTGGGCAACTTCCCCAGCCCTTTTGATTTTTCAAATTGAGACAAGGTCTTACCAAGTTGCCCATGCTGGACTTGGACTTGCTATCCTCCTGTCTCAGTCTCCTGAATCACTGTAATTATAGGGATGTACCACTGCACACAGCAATAACATTTTTTTCCCCCAGTACTGGGGCTTGAACCCAGGGCCTCAAGCATATTAGGTAAGCACTGTCACTGAGCTACATCCCCAGCCCTAATAGTACAATTCTTAAGGATAAAATAATATAGACCCAATCATGATAATCTCTTTGGCCTAGCCAAAGAGTTTCACTCTTTTCCACATAGCATCTAGGCATTTTCCTTCCTTGTTGTAGAAAGATATCAATTAAAATCACATTCAAGTTGGGTACAGTGATGCATGCCTGTACTTCCAGAAACTCAGGAGACTGAGGTAGGAGGATCTCAAGTTCAAGGCCAGTCTCAGAACTTAGTGAGACCTTGTCTCAAAATAAAAAATTAAAAAGGCTGGGGATGTAGCTCAGTATAAAGTACCCCTGGGTCCAATCCCCAATACCACAAAAATAAAACAGAACAACCTTGTTCCCGGCCAGAACCTACAATTACTGCCTGAAAACATATATCCTAAAACTGAACTCAAACAAAAGGATAGATCTACCCTACTACCATCTTCCAAACTGAATATTAAGCTTTCCTGTTAAATGGCATACATCTGTCAACTTAGTACCTGATCAAACACCACATGTAGATTTTAATAATAATTCTTATAATAATTTTTATGTTCACCATCTGAATATCTAAAACACCCAAAAGAATCACCTTATATTTGCCACTTTTCTAATAACTTATAACTAAAAGGTAAGCTTATCTCATTTAGTAGAAATAAAAGAGTAAGGAAAAAACCCTGGGTTAAGTATGAAAATCTAACTCTGACTTTGTAAGCCAGATATAAACATGGTGAGAGACAAAAGCAATAACTGCCTTTTACTAATGTTCAAGTTTTTTGCAATATTGTTTTGATTTTATAATGTACACATTTTAGGTCATTCCTTTGTGTTTATCTAAAATTGGTAATGATTGTGAAGACCTATCATGGGTCCAAAAATTTCAAATATTTGAGAATACTATTTTTCCCATTACTTAACTTTCTTTTCGTATGAAGCTATAATTTCTTCTTATGCATCATGTTAGAGGAAAAACAATAAGGGAAATTGCCCTTATTAATAACTTCTTGCATTAGAAAAGCATTTCATAAAAAAAGTATTTCATTATCTGCATTTATAATACCTCATTTAGAAAAAATATGGTTTGATTTTAGTAGGAACGACACTTACAAAAACCAATATATCTAATAATTTCTAATTTCCCTCCCCAAAGTCATTCTTTCCTTTGGACCTTCCCAGAATCCAGACTGTCTTTCTATACCTCTTGGTTATAACTAAGGGTGATATCAAAAGCAATTACCAGCTATCGTGGCATAAACACCAAAGAATGATACCAGCTCATAAATGTATAGCTATACTGGAATAGGTTCACTAAATATTATCCTTAGTTACAGCTTCTTTTAAGCAGCCTGCTATACTTTTTCCATGCTTGCCCCATTCTCAAAGACCTTCGGTTACTCCTTGACTGCCAATTCCCAGAAAGAGATAGCCGTTTTTAAGAAAGACAACCATATAATTGGATTCCAAACATAAATTTAACTCAATATCTTATTAAATCTTTAATTTCCCTACATTTATTCCTTAACAAAATAATTAAGGAGAAGTATTAGAAAGAACTGCTTTCTTTCTCTTTTAACAACTTTCTTCAGAGAATGTGGTTCTTTAAGTCAGCTTTTTATTATAGCTTTGTTATTTGATAATATTTACACAATTAGATATTCATGTTCTTTTTCCTCTCAACCACATGAAAATAGTTAACACATAGATAAAGGAATGATTTGGTCATATATTAAGGATGCTGTCAACTGTTAGCAAAACAAATGTCTGACATTTAGAGAAGAAATAACAGAAAGGGATTGTAAACATTCCCAGAATGCCAAGATGGGTCATTTAAAAATAAATCTGAGGGGCTGCGGTTGTGGCTCAGCAGTAGAGTGCTTGTCTAGCACGTGCAAGGCCCTGAGTATGTATGATCCTAAGCACCACATAAAAAAAAATAAAGGTAATGTGTCCAACTACAATTAAAAAATAAATATTAAAAAAAAAATAAATTTGAGCTCATAGAGTTATGTAATAACATCAAATGTTATTTTAAAAGACATTCTTACCCAACTTTGGAAAAACTATTAAGTATTCAGCATTGCACTGAGGGCATGCCACTCTGGCTGTACTGTTTCCTCTTTGTTTTTCATCAACCCAGCGCTGCAGACAAGCCTGATGAACCCATTTGGTAGATCCTCGGCACCTGCATGGTCTCACCCATTCAGCTGTTCTATCATCTTCATCAGTGGCAAAACAAACCCAGCAACTTCTGTAAATTAAGAGGGAAAATGATGTTTATTTTTAGGATTTCAGTCTCTTCTACACTGTAGCGCTTACTTAAGAGGATGAACCTACTTTGTTATATGATAGAACCTCAATCCTGCTGAAAGACTATGAATACATTCGAACAATCAGTATATTCCCAATAGAACATCTTTAATTTTTGTTTTTCCTCATCATCTTCTATAGCATCTTTTTTCTGAAAATTTTTATTATGTAATTTCCTCCATCTTTCTAGAAATTCTTCACTCTCACCAGTGAACCAGAGTTCAAAGAGACAAACCTTAAGCTGCTTTTGTTTTACATAAGAGGATAGTTCTTTAAGGACTGGTAAACACAGGAATACGTGAGATTTAGTGTTCTCCCTATTGTAACACTAACCTCTTCTGTGTATTTGTGTGTGTGTGTGTTTTTGTGTGTGTGTGTGTGTGGGGCAGCGGGTAATGAGGATTGAACTTGGGCCCTTTACCACTGAATATATTCCTAGCCTTAAAAAGTTTCCCAAGTTGGCCTCAAATTTATGGTCCTCCTGCCTCAACTTCCCAAAGCTGTGATTATAGGCATGTGCCAGCATGTCTGGCTAACACCAACCTCTTGAATTTGGAAAAAAAAAAGTGTTACACAAATGATTTCACATAATTTCATTCAATTTTCAACTAAGGGGAAAAAAACCCCACTATTTTCCCTTTTTGGTAAAGTATAACTATAATGTTTAAAAATTTATGAAACTACAAAGGATAAGAAGACAGAAAAAAATGTAGTGATGATAAATTTGGGACTAGTCAACATGTTTCCATTGTAGGTATGTTTGGTTTTCCTTTTTCTGGAATTAAATTATATTATTTATATTTCAAATCTAGAAACTTTAAGTTGGAGATGCTTATGTTTAAAAAAAACCTATTGCATTGATTAATTCAAAAACATTTTTTTCACTTTTCTTTAAAGGTACTTTATGAAGTCTGATTTTTCTTTATTGTAGGATAAGGCTACAATTCCTTATTATTTTTTCTCCCAATTAACACAAGTTTTGACATTGATTTTTCACTAGGGTAAATACAGTTCAATTCAATGAGACCATTCTCTTCCCCCTTTCATCCATTAAAAAGTTTGTGAAAATGGAAACTGCAAATTAAAGCTTATTACCTACTGCACAATTTTTACTTAGTTAGATAAGTGGTTTCTATCAGAACTACAAACTTAAACTATGCTCAGAGATAAAGACTGTATAGTCAGCTACCAAAGATGGGTAAGGTCTCCAGTTTTTGAACAATAGGAACAGAACAGGGAAAATAATGAACTGAATCCATGGCAATAATACTCAAAACTATAATTTTATTCAGTTTTCAAACTGAATAACATTTGCTTAGCACTCTGACCCACTTCAGCTAAGCTGTTTTGGCCTTCATGCTACTTTCATTTTTCTTTTAAAATGTGATCATAGCCGGGTGCGGTGGCGCACGCCTGTAATCCCAGTGGCTCACGCCTGTAATCCCAGTGGCTCGGGAGGCTAAGGCAGGAAGACTTCGAGTTCAAAGCCTGCCTCAGCAATTTAGCAAAGTCCTAAGTAACTTAGCGAGACCCTATCTCTAAATAAAAAATACAAAATAGGGCTGGGAATGTGGCTCAGAGGTTAAGCGCCCCTGGGTTCAATCCTCAGTATCAAAAACAAAACAAAACAAAACAAAAAAAAGCCAAAACCCTTCTAAGTTCATCCCCTGCAAAGGAAAAAAGAGGTTATAAATTTCTGACCAAACTTTTAAGAGTTTCTCTTTTTTCTTTATTTTTTGTCCTTCTCTCCAATGTCTCTCAAAGGTCAATGTGATTGATTCATAAGCATTACTTGAACTTGTTAGAAATGGGATTATCAGACCCACCCCCCAGACCTACAGAATCAGAAACTCTTTAGATGCCTGACATTGTTTTAACAAGCATTTCTCAGGTGATCCTATATCTAAAGTTTCAGAGGTCCTGCTCTAAGTCTGTCTTCACTTTTTCATTATTTCTTCCCTTTGTAAGTCTTCTTAACTCTCCATAATATGAAAATGAAATTCCATTTTACTATAAAAATTTAAAATTTTATGAAACTAGAAAGGATATGAAGACAGGAAAAAACGTTTTAGGAAAGTGATATGATAAATTTGGGTTAAATTCCACTTAACTATAAACAAAAACTATTTGGTTTTTAAATTTAACAGCAAGTAAAATGCTTAAGTTTTTCTTTTTTTAAAAGGAAAAAATGCCAAACTAGTTTTTGGAAAAGATTGAGTTTAGGATATTCTAGATGGTTCAAGAACCTGGACTTTGATTTTGAGTTTATATAAAACAGTCTTCCAGAAAAATTGACAAATACCCAGGTGTTAGTTTCTTCATTTATTTTTTATTTTATTTTTGCAATGCTGGGAATTGCTTTCAGGTCCTTGTGCATGTTAGGCAAGTGATCTACCACTAAGCCACATCCCCAGCCTCTCTTTGTTTATTATCTTTAACCACAGACCTGATGGGGAATTGGAGATAACATATAAATATTTCGCTAGTAAAGCTGAGTTGAATTATACATTTGTTAGAGATTTTAGTAGTGATTTAGCAAGGGGTTTCCCCCACCCCTTGCCATTATATTCAGCACATGTGGAGGCTTTCCTATTATAGAATCTATTAGAAATTACATTAAATACTAAGTTAATCCAGACCTGCATAGTTGTCCTATGGTATTGATAAAGTCAACAAAGAAAATGTATCATGTACAATTCAGCAATACTGGAATTGTCAATACAGTTGAGAATAATAATGGTAGTTTCTAATACTCTAGAATTGGAATTTACCTGATATATATATAATCTCATCATTACTTGTAATATGAAACTGGTTTGAGCAGAACTCTACTTACTTGCTGACTACCAGACATTTCTAAACCAATTGGTGTTTGTGAGTTTTGAGAATCTACACTGAGTTTTATTTTTGGAAAAATCTGTTTGTAAAAACCGAGTCTCTGAAAATGTAACTTTTCAAAAAATACTACCTAAACTAAAATAAAATGTAAACATGCCTGGTACGTGAGGTTTGTTTCAGTGATGTGTCTGGCCTCCCCGTATTAAGATATACTGCTGAATTATAATTAGGCCCCTTACAGATTTTTTTTTGTTACTTCTATCACTTGAATTTAAATTTATGTTAAAAGTAAAATAATGGGCTGGGGATGTGGCTCAAGCGGTAGCACACTCGCCTGGCATGCGTGCAGCCCGGGTTCGATCCTCAGCACCACATACAAACAAAGATGTTGTGTCTGCCGAAAAACTAAAAAAATTAAATATTAAAATTCTCTCTCTCCCTCTCTCTCTCTCTCTTAAAAAAAAAAAAGTAAAATAATAATGGGTTGATGGATGTAAAACAAGTCATTTGAACCAGATTGCCTAGATTCAATCCTGGTTTACCACTTGTTATATGTTTAATGATAGAATCTCTTTCACAAAGTTGTTGTAAAGCCAAAGTTTGTTTATGTTTTGTGATGCTGGGGATTGAACCCAGGGCCTGGCACATGCTAAACAAGTGCTCTTATCATTGAGCTCTGGCCCCAACTGGGTTCAATGAAAACTTTAAGAGGGTTGGTAAATTTGGTAGGAAAAATATTAGATGTTTATTTTCACTAAACTCTAAATAAAATTTAGCTCTTTTCTTCAATGATGAATCAAGCAAACTATCTGCAGTACAGCAATTAGAAATTAGTACATGAAGCAACCAGAAATTTTCATATTATTTTACAGCTGCACAGATCCCAAAATAATACTTGGCCCATCATTAATTTGAAATCAACTATTAGACTGATAAATCTTGTATTTGAATGTGTTACAGCTCATATTATTATACAGATTTTTAATATTTTGATAGCTGTATTTTACTATAATTGGTTTAATTCCTAAGCATATATATTGTTTTATTCTTCAAAAACATTCTGAGAAGGAACCCATAGGCTCAATCAGACTGCCAAGAGTTTTCAGGATAAAAATGGTTTGATTTTGCTGGGTGCAGTGGAGTATGTCTATAATCCTAGCAACTCTGGAGGCGGAGGCAGGAAGATTACAAATTCAAGGCCAGCTTCAGCAACTTACTAAAACCCTATTTCAAAATAAGTAATAAAAATAAAAAGGGCTGGGGATGTACCTCAGTAGTAGAGCATACCTGTGTCCAACCCTAGTACCATACCACCCCTTCCCCAAAAGGTTTTTATTTTAAGGTCCCCTACTTTAAAAAACTAAATATATGCTAAAGAAACTGCTTAAGAATTATCTGGCACACAAGTATAGTGGTGCATGGCTGTAATCCCAGCAATTGGGAGGCTAAGGCAGGAGAATCACAACAAGTTCAAGGCTAGCCTCAGCAACTTAGTGAGGCCCTTAGCAACTTAGTGAGATCCTGTCTCAAAAAATAAAAAGGGATGGGAATGTGACTAAGTGATTAATGCTTCTGGGTTTGCTCTCTGGTACAGGAAAAAAAAAATTACCTAGCATATATATAATCTCCAAATACATTGGCAATAACATTGATTATGATGGCAATGATCATGTCAACTTTACATCTATGCCTAGAATTTATGGATGCAATTTTCTTACCATTCTACTTGGCAACTTGGTATTCAGTGGAAAAAATCCTGGATTTTTTGTTATCTCCCAATTTTTCAACATGCCCCACCTAACATTACTTAAGATATTCATTCAAACTCTTTCAATGTATTTTTTTTTCATTCTTCTTTCTTTCACTTGCTCTTCTAAATGCCCCCTGCTTGCTGATAAATACAGCATTTACTCCCACACCATGCCATCCACCAAGTTGGAGCACAGTGGAGTAAAGGAAGATATATGAAGTATCATGATTAGCTTAGAGATCAAAGAACAAATCACTATTATTGTATGAAGATAAGAAAATAACTGGGCACAGTGGCACATACTGTAATTCCACTGACTCAGGAGACTGAGGCAGGAAGATGGCAAGTTTGAG